GAACCGCTGCTCTGCAGTGTTGAGGTTGGGAACCACTGCTTTATGGTGTTGAGGTTGGGAACCACTGCTCTGCAGTGTTGAGGTTGGGAACTTCTGCTATGTAGTGTTGCCTTTCACTGTTTGCTCAGTGTTACTTATTTAGGAGATTTCAGCTTCCTTGATTATAATTTCCCCCAGTACTGCTCCTACTGAACCTCCCTGTGCTGACACCACTTTATGTTGTGTGGCTTTGAAAAATAATTTGTAATGATTAAGATAATGTACTGGGTTTTCTTCCAGCTATTTCTGGAAGCGCTATTCTCCTTGCCAACCTAGTTTAAATCCTAGGCCACTGCTGCTCATGCTTTCAAAGTCATTAATTATGGCAGCTATGCAGAGAGATGATGGCTTCCTAGTTTTCCCTATGTCTGTTTCCTCTGGAATGTCAGGCACAAGTTGGAGAACCTGATCTGGCCAGCTGCTTTAGCTCCTTTCTGTTTCCCCTACCAGGTGCCACAGCCTGTGGACCTGCTGATTGATGCAATGCCATCAGACTCACTGTGAATGTGGTTCCCATTGGTCATTTAGGGCTATGAACTCACCCAGGCAGATTGGCACATAGGGTTTTGTCCGTGGATTGTTGGCAATACCATCACCTTTTTATGTGTCCCTTATTTTAGACAAAATTAGTAACAGATGATAAATACAGTATTGTATTTTTTTTGTTAGATTGGAAGAAGAGAAGGTACACAAGGAGTTAAAAGGTTTGGACAAAGGGAAGAAATGAATACAGAATTTAGTTTGGAGGAAAATTCATGTGAGAGGCTGAAGAAAGGAACTGATACATGGAGTTTGAGGGGAACAGCTATAGAAATAGAATAATTACCTAGTCTTTAATAGAATAATGCATAGTCTTAATTTTTTAATTGTTACATTCTATAGTTTGTTATTTTAAGAACAGTTACTTAATGTGCAATTTTTTTTCTTTGGTTTGTTTTTTGAAATAGGGTTTCTGTGTAGCCATGGCTGTCCTGGCACTCACTCTGTAGACCAGGCTGGCCTTGAACTCAGAGATCCACCTGTCTCTGTCTCCCAAATGCTGGGATTAGAGGTGTGTGCCACTACTGCCCCACACAGTATGCAAGTTTGTATTGGCTTGTTCATTAATTGCTAAAGTAACCCATCTAATAAAGTATTTCTAGGATGACTGGATTAACTTTGTACATTTAGCATATGACTATTAGCCCATTTAAAATTTTCTAGCCTCATATTTTCTTTTGTGGTCTTTTCATTGTTTAATGCCTGGGTAAGTACTGAGAGACACTTAAATTAGCACTAATGCAGGAAGGTAAAATTAAAACATTTAAATTTCTTCTTTGGGGGTTCAGAGACATGGGTTGTCAATAGAGTACTGTTGTAGGTATGATGGTGGCCCAGAGGGGGTACTTACTTAGAGGTGGAGGGCTAGAGACATTTCCTATGGAAGGTAGCGAACTAGATGTGTTATGAGGATAGCTATAAGTACAGGGAGTGGCCAAGCATGTCAACAAAAAGAGAACATGCAAAGCATGGTGGGAGAAAGCAGACATCCAGGAAACTGCTGATGCTTGCAGGTACCTGCAGCTTGTTGTTCCTGGAATATGTGCTGACCATGAAGATGGAAAGACAGGTATACATCTGTCAGGTTTTTTTTTTTTTTTTTTTAAGGTTTATTTATTTATTATGTATATAGTGTTTTGCCTGCATTTATGCCTGCAAGCCAGAAGAGGGCACCAGATCTCACTACAGATGGTTGTGAGCAATCATGTAGTTGCTGGGAATTGAACTCAGGACCTCTGGAAGTGCAGCCAGTGTTCTTAACCACTGAGCCATCTCCCCAGCGGAAAGACAGGTAAACACCAGCTGTTGGGTAATTACAGGACCTTTTTATTTATTAAAGGCAGTAGGGAACACTAGAGTATTCCAACTGAAATCACATGTGGGAGTTAGTGGGAGAAAGTTGATGTAGAAAAGGGAAGGTAGCACTTGTTACTAAAGAAATTAAGAGTCCTGACCAAAATTGAGATGATGGGCAGGTATTTTAGATTTCACCAAATACAGTGAGTATACGGAAGGTGTGTTTGGGATTGTTGAGGCACATGGAGGGTAGTTGAACATGCTGATCACAGGAGGGTGAGCTGGTTGACAGAGAGGAGTTGAGAGTGAGTGGTGATTAGGAGTACTTCAGTGGAAATGATGGAGGAGAGACCACCCTAAAAACAGAGGAGGCCTGTAGGTCTTCGGTATTAAAGAGACGGCTGAAAGGACCTCAGCGGCAGGGTCAGAGCCTGGGAGAAAAGCTGCAGTACTGAAGAAGGGTGGGGTGGAGCCCTTCCTGCTAGTGCTGTGTGCTGTGCTGCAAAGTGGGAGTCACGTGTACCGCCTGTAAAGCGTTAACACTCACAGGAGCTGCTGAAGAACTATGTAAAAATAGGTGAAATTAGCTTGAAGGGTTTTATTGAACCCAATAGATTAAAAATGCCACCAATTCACTAGGTGGTGGTGGCACATGCCTTTAATTCCAGCACCCAGGAGGCACAGCCAGATAGATCTCTGTGAGTTCGAGGCTAGCCTGGTGTACAAAGCAAGATCCAGGACAGGTACCAAAACTACACAGAGAAACCCTGTCTCAAAAAAAAAAACAAACAAAAAAAAAACACCAAAAAACAAACAAAAAGACACTATTTCAACACAGAGTTACTATAGAATTATTGGGATTATTTCTCAATATTTTTTCATACTATATCTTAAACACTTATATTTACATAGTTTGTTATAATTCAGACACAAATTTTAGTTGGAAATTATCAATCTTTATATTTCATAAAATTTATGATAGGAAAAAGTAAGTTGATATATCCAAGTTATTTAAAAAACTTTTGTAACAATCAAGTAACACTTTAAAAATTTTATTAAAATTAATGGAGCTGAATGTCTGGCGCTTGACCATGGTGCTGTATTGCCATGCTGAGTAGGCTGGAGGTAGCTGCATGTAGCATGAATCCTAATTGGTCTTAAGAAAAACCTGGAGCCAGATATCGAGGTAAATGCTGAAAGATCAGAGAGACAAAGGAATAGACCACAGCCACCTCTCACCTCACCAACTCCTTAGCCAAAAAAGAGACTGAGCTACTTTATCTTCCTGCCTTATATTCCTTTCCTCTACCCAGCCATCACTTCCTGTCTCAACTTCCCTAGTGCTGGGATTAAAGGTGTGAGATCCCAAGTGCTGGGATCAAAGGTGTGTACCATTACTGCCTGGCTTTGTTTCTCTTTTAGACTGGATCAATCTCATGTAGCCCTGGGTGGCCTTGAACTCTTATCTTCCTGCTTCCTCCTCCCAAGTGTTGGAATTAAAGGTGTGTGTCACCACTGCTTGGCCTCTGTGGTTAACCAGTGGCTGTCTTTGCCTTCTGATCTTCAGGCAAGTCTTATTTGTTAGAGCATACACATAATATCACTACAGCTGCAGGCACTGTGCTAGGCATCTGAAGAGCTTTGAGCAGATGGATGGAAGGCCCTACCTGCATCTGCCTATAGGAGGAAAAAACCTTTGTGAGACCAGGTTTTGTAAGAGGTGGAAACAGCCAGGTTCCTATAGATTGTGAGATGATGGAAAGTCATGAGATGTGATAAATATTAGTCATTCTTTCAAGAAACCTAATACTGAATGAAGGAGAGAAGAGATGGTTGATTGGGTCTCAGAGCTGCTTGGTGGGAGTGAGAAGGTCTTGGGGGTGCTTCACTCTGTTATTAGGTGGTGCTGAGAGTGTATGAGACTGCACAACCCTTCCCTCCTTTTGTACAAGGCAAGCCTGTTCTGATGAACAAATGTGAATAGATTAAAAAGATTATTGTAGCAGGAATCTTAAAAGTTCTTATTAATAAAATCAAGCCTGAGGCCAAGTATATGGATGAACACTGGAAGATCAGAGAGACAGAACAAGCCATAGCTAACCCCACCTGGTCAACTTCTCAGCTGATCCTGTTTCCTCAGACT